GGTGCGGTGCGGTTTCAAGTATTTTTCAATTATTTTTAGTAAAAATTTATTGAGTCATATTACTGATATATTTATATTGCATTTGTAAATATGATCTGTCTGATTAATGCCAGCTCTACAGATATCAACGACATATACAGATGTGCGTCAGCTGAAACAAAGTTTGTCCAAAAGTAAAGCTTGATTTTAATATTTTTTATATTCGATAATAAGAGATCACATACTTGTTAATCAAAATTTTGGTTCGACACAGCGTATTAACAATGTGCTTCGACAAACATTTATCGAATTGAAAAACGTCCTTTTTACAGGCCCCCATTGGATCTAAAATTCAACTGACGTTCCAACATTTCGACATTGAACTAGACCAGCTTGCCAACGGACGCTATGAATGCGGTTTTGACTGGGTGGAAATTCGAAAATATGGACCTGAAAAAGCAGGACCAAGGTATGCACTGTTTAATATGCTAAGTCTGCATATACAATACAAAATACTAGAAAAGTGTTATTAAGAAATTAATGTAAAAGGAAAAATAATTGAATCGACGAACTGATAATATAATGTCACATACATTAGCTGTTGTCAAGATATTTGTCAACAACTTTACAGCCTTATATGCAAATACAATAAATTCACTAATAAAAAAGTGTGTCAATAAATTAACAAAACATTAAACATATTAGGTATTGTCAAGATATTTGTAGTTGTCAACAACTACAGCGCACGTAAGAATTACAATAATAATACTTCTTATTAAGAAAGAAAAAAGTTTGGAGAACAACAGGAAACTCTATGGGGAGTGTATGTTGGTGGCTGTGTCTTCAGTTCTATTTTGTTTTCTCAGGTACTGCGGTAGGCAAAAGGAAGGACAGACAGATACATACAATGTTAACAACCTGCTGATTAAATTTGTCTCAGATTCTTCTTCAAACAACCAGGGTTTCCAGGCAAAATATAAAATCATACCTGGTACACAAGGTAGGAAATATGTCTGCAGTGAGAAATGTTAGGCTTTAAATATTATGGTCCTCTCAATTTTTTCTTTTAGACGTAAAAATATTTTAAATATATAATTTGCAACATGTTAATTTTGATTATGACAACAGCATTATTTGTTTATTCATTCATTTTTTTTATAATAGCTGCAAAAAAAATCTTTTCATGTACAATTATGAGTATGTTTCTCTTTTTATTTACCCGTTTTCAGCTGATAGTGCTGGAGGTTGGACAGCATTCAGTGCCTGGACACAGTGTCCTGTCACCTGTGGTGGGGGAATACAGGTACGCATGCGCACCTGCCTCCCCCCTGGCAACACCTGTCCCGGCAAAGATTTGGAATTTCTGAGATGCAACGTTAACCCTTGTTAAGGTATTCATTTCTGCCAAGGAACCTCATGAATTCTGCATATTCTCAAAAGGACATCGTTGAACTTTTCCAATGGTCCCAAAACTTTCTTCCTAAATGATTCTTCAGTTACCAATGTTAACATTGGCAAAAAATTGCATTTGACGACGACCACCAGTTAATTACATTTCTGACTGTAGGATTCGATAAAGGTATTGGATAGAAAACTTAAGAGCGACTAGTTAGTCTAATAACTTCAAATCTTCAAATTTGTGTGGTACAAATATGTTCCCAATACTCTCAAACAGAACCACTATTGTAAAAATGGAACTTCGCTACTCAGTTATGCAGTAGACCTCCTTAAAATATGTTAGTAAAATGTAAAACATGACGGCAAACAGGGAGTGGTGAGACTTCTGCTTACATTTAGAATTGACAGATTTGTGTAAGCAGTTTTGCAAACAAAAACAGTCCACATTCTCACATGCCTATTAGAGGTGGGCTTCAATGGCGGATCAGATTATTTTGACGAAAGATCCATTTCACCTCAGGTTTCACAAACTTTGAAGTGAGCATAAGAATGCGAAAAAGACCCGTTCATGAATTCTGTAATCAACAGATTTTTGTAGAAGGGGGGGGGGGGGGGGGGGGGGACCCTCTAAGGCCAAAAAAAAATTTTTTCCCC